AGAACACCTTATCTTTGATCATTTTTATAATTCGCTCAAAAGAAAATTTTGTTAATCTTTCATGTAAGTCATCTTTGAATTCACTTAAAATTTTGTTGATCATTTTTATGATTCACTTAAAAGAACAGCTTATTTTTTTATCATTTTTATAATTCATTATTTTTTATATTTATATTTTTACCTTTCTGCCCTTATTAAATAAAATAATTTTTTATCTTTATTAGGGGTAGAGCTAAATTTATTAAATTTTAAGATAAAATTAACGAGATTTGAGATTTTTTTTTAATTTTAGCAAAACATGATTGGGGAAAATATGTACGCTTTTTTTTTTTTTGATATAATATGTACGCATTTGTTAGTAAAAAAATCTGTCAATCTTATGACTGGGCCATGCACAGAAGAGGCTTCTCTCCTAGTGAGAACCATCATGGCTCTTTTCCCCTCACAATGTGGGCTGTGGCCCACAAAAAAACAAAATTGGTGATCCATTAAAATTAATATGTTAATAAATTTTATAATTTTTAATTTAATAAAGATAAAATTAAAAAAATATAAATATGTATCATCTATACTAGATATTAAAGCCATCAATTCTCAGCCATTTTAAGTCCAAAAAAAATTCAAATGTGGGCTGCTATTTTAGAGTGTGAATTGACAATTTGAGCTTTTTTAAGTCCTAAAATAAAATAGTTAGTCCTTTCCCTAAAAGCCTTTTTATATTTTTTTTTTAAATTTTAATATTAAAAAATTAAGTACTTCACTAATTCTAAATTTAAATCTCATTTCATGAGGATGAAGAAAGAATATATGAAAATCTTAATATCTTTGCCACCGATGAGGCTTCACAGGAAAATGAAAAAATTATATTGATGTTGATGACGATAAAAATATTCAAGATTTAGCTGATGATGCCAGTAAATTATAATTCTTATTGGTGTTGATTTTGTAATGTTATTTTTTATCAAACTTAAATTTGTTGTTGCTTGTATTAACTTAAAAAGTTTTTTTAAAACTTAATATTATGTGTAATAATTTTTTTAAATTTTAAATATGTTTTTTTAAACTTTTTAAATTAAAAAATAAAAAATATAAGGCCAAGACCTTGAGTCAACCTTGAAGATCAAGGTTGGACTGACCAAAATGAAGTTATGAGATATAAGTGGACTTAACAGGGCTAATATTCTGAAGATCTGTCCCCGCACGCATGTCCGATAAAATTCAAATGACAATGAGAAGATTAGCATGATATTGATTCCTTTCCACTGCGCCTCCATTGCAAATGTAAACTATTTAGATTAAATTTTTAATAATACAGATTAACTTATACTTTTAAAATTATTAAATTTAAATCATCAACTCCAATTCACTTTTGTGGAGGGAAGCCAATCCGATAGACACAAATGGAGAAACAATACTACGAAGATCCGTCGCAAATCCTTGTTCCCCAATGGTTGCAACTTTTTTGGCTCAGGCTTGACAAGCATACTATCACTGTCGAATTTCGCCAATGTCCATTATCCTGATTTGCTCTGCTAAACACCTCTTAATCTCGTTGATGGGGTTCGGTCGAAACAGAGTTGGACCATCAAGGAATTTCAGTCGTTGCTGAATTATCGCTTTAAGTCTTTCCAGGAAGAGCCAGCTGCAATGCCGAATCCCTTCCTCTGCTGGAAGAACACGAGAATGATGACTTTGATGCCCAAAGCAGCGTACGAGGAAGAGGACGAGGAAACACGAAACTTCACCGTGTTGGAGGAAAAGTGGCTGTTTGAGTACTGTGGAATGAATTCTTAACGATGGCTTTGGAGCTGAAATTGAACAAAGTCGGCTATGTTTGCCAGCGTGGGTGATTAGTGGGGTGGATGATTGGATGTTGACCCCAGATTCTAATGCCTTTTGATTATTTAATTTGCACAGATCAACTGTGAAGGAGATGGATTAAACTGCAACACCAATGGCAATGGAGGGAACTCGTTGCAGAAAGCTTGACAGACGAATGACTAAATGAGCACAGGAGTTTTTTTTTTTTTCACTGATGGGCGTTTATGGAATATAAAAAAATAAATGAAGGCAAATTGGTTAAGATATTTGGCTCCCCTCCTAAAAAAAAAACACTCAATTTTAAGGGGACTAAAATGATAGGAAGGGAAGTGAATGCGAGGGCAAAGTGTGACGCCTTTCTTTCAAAATTTCTTAATCAAATGAGGGAGGAGGAGTTATTTTCCTTTTTTTTTAAAATCTCTTAACTAAATATATTCTCCATGAGTTTGTGTGGCTTCTCTCTCTATTTTCCTTCCTTTTCTCCCCTCATCCATTTCCAGGCTAATCCAAACCTCCAAGGGATAGGACTGTTATAACTGACAGTTGTATGAGATTGTTGTTATTAACAGTGGCCTCGTAGGCATTTCAAAAATGTTTTTATCATATTTATTTAATGTGACTATATATTTTAAAAATTATAAAATAAGTTAATTTAACTTTCTTCAATCAAATGCCTCTTGACAAAATAAACAAATAATTTTGAATTATTAAAATTTAACTTGCACAATTTATAACTATAATAAAATAAATAAAAATTTAAATTTATAAAAAGTTTAATAACAGTATACAACTGTAAACTGTGAAGGTTAAATTTTAATAATTTAAATTTATTTATTTATTATTTGATAATTATTTTATAAAACAATTAAATCTATTGGTAAAAAAAGTAAATCTGAATTATTCGTTTTATTATTTAATGGTGGAGATGGGATGGGGGAAAAGAAAATGAGGGAGAGAGGGGGGGGGGATCTGTCACTGTTATTGTCCATTAATCTACAGTTGACAGTGCAATGATACTGGCATTTGAAGAACGATATTACTCTAACAAAAAATTTAACATAATAATAATAATAATTTCTCCTTCCAAAATAATTCCCTTTTAACTCATCAATTAGTGTTCCGAAAGTTATTGATCTCACTGTCACAAAGCACCAAATTAATCACCACATCATTACAATATAATCCATCTAGGCACTCTTTTTTTTTAAAAAAAAAAAGAAAAAAAAGTATAATCAGTGTGAATATTAGAATTTAGAACCCCCCACTTTGTGAAAGTGTAAAGAAGCACAATTGGATTGTTAGGCAGGGGCGTACCCCTATATTAACAGTAGTGTGGGGGAAGATGCCCCACTAATTCCCCATCCAACCAAATGCTATATGTTTTAAATAAGACATTTATTATTTACCCCCACTCTATAATATAATATATATATATATATATGTAAAAGATCTTTGCCCTAAAGTTTGATTATAGTTAGAATAAATAAAATTAAAACGAACCTTATATGTGATGTTTTTTTTTTTAAAATAAAAAAAGAGGCCAAGCTACCGGAGTGCTTTCTCGCTCAAGAGCTTTTGTAGTAAGTTAAGGCTTTCGGAGCGGTTTTTTTTTTTTTTTTAAATAATCTTAAAAGTTTTTTTTAATATTTTTGGGGAGAGTTTTTTTTTTCTTTCTCTTTTTTGTTATAGGCGCTGTGATAAGGACGTTCCAGCATGCATTTTTTTTTTGAAATAGCATTATATTAAGGGAAATTAACAATAAAATATCACTGAAATATGTAAATAATAATAATATTTCTCAAAATATTAGAATTTCTCTAAAGTCTCTAGGTACTTTTCTGACATTAATGATTTATGCTAAATAACTAAAGTGTCTCTTATTTAAAATTAAATAAAAAGTAACAGGTTTAAATGAAAAGTTATGATTTTTTGTTAAATTTTTGTAATTTATAGAATAAAAGTTATGATTACTTAAATAAAAATTATAATTGATTATTTTTAGAACTTGAACTTCAATGATAAAAGAAATTTTATGTGAAAAGTTATAATTTCTTATTTAATTTTTATAATTTACAAAATAAAATTGTGATTACTTAAAAAAAGTTGTGATTAATTATTTTCAAAATTTAAATTTTAATGATAAATGAAATTTTACAAGGAAGGTTATGATTTTTTATTTAATTTTTGTGATTTATGTTTTCAAAATTATAATTGTTTAAACAAAATTGTAATTGAGATCAATTATTTTCAGAACTTATTTATCAATCATAAAAGAAATTTTATGTGAGAAGTTGTATTTTTTATTTAATTTTTATGATTCATAGAATAAAATTGTAACTGATTAAACAAAAATTATTATTGAGAAAATAGAGCAAGACTGATTATTTTTATTTTTAACAAGAGATAATTTATTCATTTAACGTAAAATTATTAATATTAAAAAGGTATTCAACAATTTTGTAAAAATTGTGACATTTCAATAAACTTGATTGTCATTTATACTTTTCAGCAGGATTTATTATCATTTTCTTTATATTAATTTACTACTAGAAAAATAAAATTTAAATGCCATATTCACTTGTTAAATTGTGTTTTAATAAAAAGATTTATCTCTCACTAAATTCATAGTTAAAAGAAGCTCGCTAAATTTAACAAAAGATAATATTTTCCTCACTAATTAATGAGGGATTCAATCCTTTATTAATTTTTTAAAAAGATCATATCCTTTATTAATATTATTTAAAATTTGATAACTTTATTACTTCTTATTTTATTTATAAATTTATAAATCAAATTTCAAATCAATATTACTTCTTATTTTTTTTAATTTTCAGGTAAGAAATAATTATTTTATTTTAAAGTTACCTTCTTCCATTTGTTGTTTTTTAAAATTGCAGATCTTCTATTTATTGAAGCAACAATGTAGTACTGTTTTTGGCCGGCACATCTTTAGGTTTTAGCATTTAATTTACACTCCTTAATCCATCAGATTATACTTGCCACGTGTCTCCAAACTCTTCACCACGAAATTGGACTCCGACCACCCACCCGCGTGTGCCAGTAATGTATAGCTTCGCTCTATATAATGACGACGCCATGAATGGCGACGAAAATCAGCACACAGGGCAACAACTATATACACGTTAAAGAAAAGCCAGAACGGAGTTACTGTTATAACGATGTCGGCCACCAGAGCTCCGGCTCAAGCTAGCAGTCTAGCGGCTGGGTTCAACAACTTCCATCGAATCAACCCAAAATCAGATCGCTTCAGGGTTAAGAGTTTTCACCATGTCGAGTTCTGGTGCTCCGACGCCACCAGCACCGCTCGCAGCTTCTCATGGGCTCTCGGTATGCCTCTTGTTGCCAAATCTGACCTTTCCACCGGCAACCTTACCCACGCTTCTTATGTACTCCGTTCCGGCGACCTCTCCTTCGTCTTCACTGCTCCTTACTCTCCCTCCATCGCAGCCGCAGAGCACCTCGAACCCAGCTCCACCGCCTCTATCCCCTCCTTTGACCGTGACTCGTGCCTCGCCTTCGTAGCCTCCCACGGTCTAGAAGTTCGGGCCATTGCACTTGAAGTCGAGGATGCAAAAGTTGCATTCAACACTAGCGTCGTCCATGGCGCCAAGCCGACGGCCTCCCCTGTTCTTCTCCATAACCGAGTCATTTTCGCCGAAGTTCTCCTCTTCGGGGACGTCATGTTGCGATACATCAGCTACAACGATCCCTTTCATGCGTCCAACCCTAACCCCAGCTATTGGTTCCTGCCCAACTTCGAACCCGTGGAGGACCTCTCGTCCCACGCTTCACTGAATTATAGGATCCGTGGGCTCGACCACGCCGTCTGTAACGTGCCGGAGCTGGCTCAGGCTGTGAATTACGTGAAAGAATTCACTGGTTTTCACGAGTTCGCTGAGTTCACGGCAGAGGACGTGGGTACGAACGAGAGTGGGTTGAACCAGATAATATTAGCGAACAATGACGAAACTGTTTTAATGCCACTTTGCGAACCAGTGTTCGGGACGAAGCGGAAGAGTCAAATACAGACATTCTTGGAGCACAATGAAGGAGCTGGGATACAGCATGTAGCTCTGGGGAGCGAAGACATATTCAGGACTTTGAAAGAAATGAGACAGCGAAGCAAAGTAGGAGGATTCGAGTTCATGCCTTCGCCACCTCCAACATATTACAAGAATCTGAAGAATCGAGCTGGTGATGTACTGACGGATGAGCAGATTCAGCAGTGTGAGGAGCTGGGAATTCTAGTGGACAGAGATGATCAAGGAACTTTGCTTCAAATTTTCACCAAGCCTGTTGGAGACAGGTATAATACAATGACACAGCATTGTTTTTATGCTAAATTGTATTTGATCATGAATTTCATGATATTGATACAAGATTTAGTTTAGATATGAGTTAAAATGTGTTTGGTGTCATGAATGTGGGCAGGCCAACCATGTTCGTGGAGATAATACAGAGAATAGGGTGCAAGGTGAAAGATGAGGAAGGGAAGGTATATCAGAAGGGTGGCTGTGGAGGCTTTGGGAAAGGCAACATCTCGGAGCTGTTCAAATCCGTAGAAGAGTACGAGAAGCAGACGCTTGACCTTAAAAAAGTTGCAGACCCAACCTTGCTTTAAAAATCCGATCGATTGTGATTGTACAAGATACATATGAAGCCCTCGTAGTACAATACTATACTCTGCGTCAGTTAAATTTACATTAATTCTCGCGAAGTAAAGTAAAAGTGAGTGTAGTGATAATGACTAGTTTTCGTGATGGTTGGAAAAGGAACTCCTGATGATTATGGCTTCTGTTGCTAATAAAGGTTGCATTTGGACACTGTATGTATTAGCAATATAAATTGACTGAAGCCGCCACAAGAACTAAATTATGTGCGAGCGTTGTCAGATACCAATGCACGGCAGACATTCAGTATTAATGATTAATGAATAAATAAAAGTTGCATTTCTCAATTGTCTAGCATTAATCTTCAGGTTTACAATTTACAAGTGGACTTGTAACTTCGAGGTTAAATCATAATTAACTCTAAATCACGGTAATTTAGGATTTAACCCTTAAAGAATTACCAAATTGTAAAGTTTTATAAAAGAAATTTTTTAAAATTCTTTGAATGGAATCCCAATCTTAACAATTCAATCTCATATATTATTTAATAAGTCTAAATCAGAGTTTTTAAAGTAAAGTAAAAGCTTAAAAATCAATTGGAATTCAAATAATGAGTTTTAAAACTCAAAAACAGATTTTGTATGGAAAATGACAAATGCGCCGCAGCTTACGACACGTGCGCCACATCATGTCTTCTTTGTGCCATGCGCCGCAATGTGAGGTGCTATGCGTTGTGGCGCATTGCACGAAATTTGGCAGATCTGTGTTGTCATATGACAACATAGGGCGCGAACTTACAACACGTCCCAAATCTCCGTCCAACGTCTGATTGAGGTGGTTTCGGTGTCTACACGAAGCTTTTTCCTAGCTCTAGCTAATGATATTAGTTTCACACTCAAACTCATTTTTTATAAAAAATTTGACACCAAAACCTATGTTGATCACTTTTTCACAAAATCTTACAAATGGAGCATTCCAATTCAATCACACGTGCCAATAACTTACACCAACCATACGACCACACTCAAAGGACTCTTGCAGACTCGTGCAATATGCCACACACAATTAAAAATGCTTATATCATAAAATTACCATTCAACCCCAATTTTCACAAAACATTAAGGGGGAGGAAAAGTTGCACAAAATCAACTATTTCATTTCAAATTTCTCAAAATATATACATTTCTACTTGCATAAGTATTTTGGCCCTATCCATGAGTTCACAATCAAAACTTACTAACCTAGGGTACAAAATATACTTGTTATACACAAAATCATGTAAGTAGTGCATAAATCATGTCAATTAATCCTAATTGGCAATTACATTAACAAATATACATGAAAGTAACAAAAGAGAGGCATATAGAGGATTACTCTACAAATCCTAAGCCTTTGTATATTTTCTCTGACTTAGATTCGATGAGCTAGGTCTTGAAAATATTGAAATTGAGAGGTGAGTACAACCACTCAGTAACCAAATTTTACTTAACCCATACAGTTGCATATTAATTGTTAATAGCTGTAATTAGGCATGTAAACATGAATAACATATAACACTCGGCCACGGCTCACAAAACTAACAAATATGTGACCGAGCTTGCCACAAAACATTTTATCATATTATTTCACAAAAACATAACATAGGGTCTCAAAATAACAACCATGTGGCCGGACTTATATGCATGATCAGATACCAACCTTATATCCTCATATTACCTCTGACATGAAACCGGTAGCTATCACGTAGCTATGTCTTTCACGGACTAACCCAGCCTTCCACTTGTGAGGAGCCACCGGGCAAGGTGAACTCACTCACTTATATAATTCGGTTTCCCCTAATACTATCAACCATGGGGTGTCGTACCCCTAATCTAGCCTCCTCATAAATCAATGGAGACTAGTTAGGTTCAAATCCCTCATAGAACAAGTGGGACAGTCCTGAAACAACCATGAGACAAGGGCTATCTCCTGATTCTAATGGTCGGTGCCAAGGCTAATTCTTGATTCCAACGGTCACTACTAATACCACATAGATTTCAACCAATCTACTCATTTCCCTGGGCAAATTCCTGCCAATGATCAGGTTATGCACATTTCTCACATAATATGCAATTTAGCAATACATGAATTCACATGACACATGCTTCACAATTCAACACACAATTCTTCACAATTCTCCACCCATAGTAATAAATCACAATCAATTTCATAAAACATCAAGGGTGGCAAAATCAAGGTTTTCTTTCCAAAACTATTTCACAAATTAAACACTTTGCAAATACGCATCATTAATTTAACTTATTCATCATATTTCACAAAACACAATTAATATTCAATCATAAAAGTAAATTTTTCCTCGGTTACCTTAAATCTTTGAGAGGTCAAAGGTTTATCCCTCACCATACCAACTTTCCAAAGCTTTAACAAGCTCAAATAGTATCAAAACAAATCTCTCTACATTCATACCACAAAAACATCATTATTATCTAACTCTTGAAACTTTATTAACATAAAACTCCACACACTCTATTTTTATCAACCCATAATCACTACCTATTCATACCTAATGGGCTCATTAAGTTCTATTAATGTACATTATCATTAATGACACCTCAAACCATCATTAATGCACACAAACCTCTCCCAACTACCATATTTATGATAATTTTTTGATAATAAATACTCTTATGGACCAATCACTTTTAAAATCATCAATGTAGTGTTTCAATACATTAAACAACTCCCATTATATTCATTTTAACTAATGGAATTAGACGCATACTCCTATAGACAGAAAATCCATCTTCCAACTCAAACCCTACCATAAATCATCATAAATGAGGGAGAGAAAGGAAGAATAAGCCACCATAAACTTACCTTGGGTGTTTGGGAGCTTTAATATATCAACAATAGAACCCAATGTCATGCCCTAGCAGAGCCAAATTGAGCTCTTCATTTTTCTTCTATTTTTCTGTAGAAACGAATTAGATATATTTGATTTTGGTCATGTGTTGCGGCACACGATGCCCTCTGTCATGGTGCGCGGCACAGAGGAGCCTATTACATTTAAATTGTCTCTACGCGCCACGGCAGACTAACCACGTGCTGCAGCACAGAGAATGATTCTTCACTTTTTTTTCCTCTTTCCTTGCCCAGGTGGCCCGTCATTGATCTGGATTCACTTCTAAGGTTGAAATCATAACAATTATGCCAAGTTAAGTCCCTCTGGCCACACACCTTATTAATTCACGAATTACCCTCATTAGGTTAATAAATCAAGGTTAAATTTTTTCAGATGTTATAAGACTCCTTGATGCATTTGCCTCATACTCCTTCCAGTCTTTATTACAAAACACTTTTAATCATTTCATATATCTTAAAAAAAGTTAGTTTTTTTTAGTATCGTAAAAAAGTGATATGTACTTTTATTTTTACACTTAACGTTGAATAATAATATAACTATATTAAATACATTCACACTAATAAAAAAAAGGATAAAATTTAAAAAAGTAATTTAATTATTTCAAGGTGTCCTATATTTTGAATTAAAAATTATTCTTAAAATGTATCTTATAAATAAGATTGGAGGGAGTATTCTAGTAGTGATATGCAAAATATTTTACTTGTCCCATAGTCTTGGCCAGTAAAACATAACTAACCTTTTCCTCTCTCACAAATCAACTGAGCAAAAAGAATATATATTGGCCTTGTTTGGTTGTTAAAAAAGATGATAACAATGGAATGTGTTAAAAAAATTAAAAAAAAACTAAATCATTCTTTCTTATTATAACAAACATGATAAAATTTAATAATACACATACATATATATTATAAATGTAAAAATCATTATATCTCTACAAACCTCATAAATTATGTCTCTCAATCTCATAAATTAAATTACCCTTTCCTCTTATATCAATATGATTCATCTTTTTTTTCCCTCTATATTTTGATGATTTTATTTTTATATTTACTTTTTAAATACTAGCCATTATACATGTGTGTGTATGCGTGCATTTACTTGGCTGAATGCTTCAGTACTACAAACTGTTTCGTGATTTTATTTTAATTTTCACGTTACTGGAAAGACTTGCAACGGAGACCAGACATTAAACTAATATAGAGGAGGCTTCTCATACGAGAGATAGCAACACGCACACCCAGAGGATCAAAGTATTTGCCAGGAAAAAACATTAAAAGATCTCAAGGTATTAATTTTCGCCAAAATTAATAAAAATTCCTAAATCCACCCATTCCAAAAGCTGTTTGATATCCAGAGTGAAAATGTCATGATGAAATATGACTCTTTTTGTAAAATTAATGACTTTATATATTACCTATAATTCATAATATAGGTTATTGATAATTACTTTATAATTCTAAAAAACTTTGTTCTTTTAAAAAATGATACGCCTTTGTAGTTATACTTTTATTAAATTTTTTATATAAGTGCCTTAATAATAATGACAACTCAATTTCTATAAAGCATTTTTTAGAGGAACAAAAAACCTCCTTTGTTAACATGTCAGTGAAGTAGAATGATTTTTGCTCTTTTGAAAAATAATTTAAGAAAAAAATTTTTCATTTATTAGTACAAGATGTCCATTTTTTCTTGAAGAAATATATATGGACAAAAATATAATTTAATCCTTTTTTAAAAAATAACAAATAAAGTAAGAGAAGCAAACTTTTTAGAAAATATTTTATACTATTATGGATAGATGAAATGGACTAACACCAGAGTCAATGAGGGTTTTTTTTTTGGGGGGGTGTAGTCAATGTGTTCTTAATAACCAGCAGGCCTATAATAGAATAGGAAAATTATTAGGGAGGGAGTCGAATTAATTAAAGTCCTATTATTTACCCCACTCTACACACACACATATTGAATAAGATGTTTATTATTTGCCCAAAAGTTTAATTACTTGCATTAATTATTGAATTCAGAGGTTAAAACATAAAGAGATACAAAGGAGTATTAAGCTTATGCTAAATACTTTTGGGTCTAGAGACACAAAACCCTCCCTCTTTGTGAGAGAGATCAAGGATTCAAACCCTATTTTATATATGAGTGTGTGTGAATATATATGTGTTTAAATTGACATCTTCAAGAAAAAAAAAAGGAGTATTAAGCTTACTACATACATTATGTCAAATATTAAGTGGTTAAATTAATTATATTACTTTTTCACAACTTTCTATTGTATTTATAAATCCATTTTTGTTTTCCATTATTTGAATAATCTTTTTCCCCATTCAACAATTTTATTATTTAGGGAAAATATCTCCACACGTCCTTATAATTAGTTTATTTATTTCAATTTTAAATTAGGTTTTTATATAGTTTCAATCCTTTAATTCAACCCTTATGCTTTTAAACATTAGCTCCGCCGGTTAATTCCTTTGCACCTAACACCATTTGTAAATTGCTTTTGTGGCCAATGCAGGATGACGTGGTTGACATCTTAATGAGTTGGATGCTAAGTAAGAACCCATAACTCCACAAAGGCATTGATTGGGTGAAAGGGGAAAAAAAATTGGCACTACTACAAAATATATTTTTAAGAATGCTAAATATATTTTTAAGAGCATTTTTTTCAGAGCGCTTATAAAAAAATACTCTTAAATGGAGAGACAAAATTTACTAGAACATTTAAAAAAAAAGCATTTTAAAATAGTAGATATATAGGAGCGCTTTATGAATAAGTGCTCCTAAAATTTGCATGAAAAAAAATAAAAAATAAGCATTTAAAGAGCGCTCTTAAAAATTAAGCCTTTTGAAGGTGCTCAAAGGATAAAGACTCCTAAAAGCAAAGTAAAAAAAAAAAAACTTACCTTTAAAAGCGTTTATTGTCTAAAAACTCTTAAAAGTTTAATAAAAAAAATTACCTTTTAAAATACATATTTCCAAATTATGATAAAAGATTTCATTAAAAAAAAATTTACTCTTTAAGAATGCTTATCAAAAAAATGCTCCTAAAGACAAAAGCTTTTAGGAGCACTTAATAATTTAACGCTCCTAGATAGTAATATTTATTATAAAAATAAATATTTCTTTATTTTGGTATTTATTATTATATTAATTATGTGATAAAAATAAAAAATTTAGACTTAATTATTTTATTAATATTTTATATTTTTATGAGCGCTCGTCATAGAGCGCTCCATAAGGGGAGGCTTTTCTTTTTGCTTTTCGTTTTTATATTAGTTTTGAATTAGCTACCTTGTTTTGAACTCTTTCTTGCTCTGCGGCTCTCTTCCTATTCTTTTTCCTTCTCTCCTCTCCTCTCCTAAAGCTTGCTGCCGTCGAACCTCACTGTGGAAGCCATCAAACGCTGTCATGAACCCAGCCGTAGAATCGGTTGAAGCTATCGATGCCATGAAGTTCGTGAAGCTCCATCGAAGTCAAAATCCAGCGAAGCCGTAGACGCCTTGCTATCTCTGCTGCACTGTCATGGCTCACGCCGAGTCGCTGCTCTCTTGTTGCTAAAGCCCGTGCCACCGAAGTCGCTGAAGTCTATCCATCCGTCCAGATCTCCTCTCCCTCTCCCATGTCGCCGTTGTGCCGAAGCTTGCCAAAGATGACCATGTTCACACTCTCTGGTGTTCTGGTTTCACGACCACGTCTCAGATCTAATGCTTGTACTACTGCAGAAAATTTTGATTTTCACTCCCCTTTTATTGCCCATCGGTATTATTTAACTCCAGAACTTTGCGCTTTAAATTTAATATCCTTCTACTTTTTGACAGGAAATGATCATAGCTAGTCACGATCGTCCTTCACAAAAAGTAAGCTACCTTGGATTCTTCCTTCCTTGTTTTTTCATTGTTGGACATAATTTTCTTTATTTTTCATACCAACTTCTTCAACTATTTTTATGCTCAGTTTCATTTTTACAATTTTGCTTCATATATATTGGGCCCAGGGAAAACAATTCTTGCATGATATTGTTGCAAACGGTCACAATGGAATTGATGTCGACAAGTAAGTCATGCTTTTTTGTATTTACTTGATCATTAATACTCGCACTCTTGAAATAATTTATGCACGTATAGGTTCGACTAAATTGTTCATGACACCCGTTCTTGTGCTAAGGATGCAGCTTTCAGCTGCTAGCAAGACAACACTTGCACTTCAAGTTATAATAGAAGCTCAAAAGCTTGGAGGTACTTGTTGACCATTCTTATCTTCATTTTTGCTAAATCCTTTTCATGTAGATAATTAAACTATTAATTCTCTTATTTATTTTCCTGTTTATGTTGCAACTGTGTTGCTGTGCATACTGCATTTTTTTCATTATTTAATGAACTTCTATTTGATCTGTAGCGAGGATATTGAATCATGGAGTTATGTTGGAGTATTTGTGTTTCTGTGCCTGAGATATCAGTGCAGCTTTCTTCCATCTAGCTTGCATTTGTAGCTTAATTTATTAGAGTTACACTCTAGACACTTTTTTTTATAGTAGTAAAGTATTAGAACTTTAAAGTATTAGAGATGTACATTAACTTTAGCATTGAAAATATTGAAGTTAACTTTTATGATGATATTTTTTACGCAAACAATTGCTACTGATAGGGTGAGGATCAGTAAATATAATTACTAAATTTATTGTGGTAGATTCATCATACATTGATTCAAAAGCTTTGCATCTTTCAATGACCATAGCTATAAATACATATGCCTATTCTTGTATTTCCATCCAATTAGTTTATATTGTATTTTATTATTTTAGTTTTGATTTTGATTTCGGTTAGCCATTATGCAATGAGTTATCAATTTGGCTTTGAAATGTAAATCTCTTTCATTCTTTGTATATGTGATCTGTATTATTGGCCTTGCAAATTTCAGTTCATAGGTTGAGGCTTTGAGAAAGCAACTTATTTAAGATATTCTTTGCTGAGACAATTATTCGTGTTCTCTAGATACAATTATTGCATGGAGACATCCTGAGTATCACGCTTAGTTGCAGCTCTTACGTATAATTATAGATAAAGATCACTTGATGTTAATTATTGTACTTATTTCTCTTTTTGGCTTATGCGATCTGAACGTTTTGCATATTTTTTTTTTCGTAGGTTGGTGTAATGGTAGAAGGCAATTGTTTTCCTTTTAAATAATTTTTTTTCTTATAGTGTAATGTTTAGAAGATTATATTAAAAATCTTTGTACTAATTTTGATGTTAGAGTAGTTGATTGAGATTATGGCTACCAAACCCACAAAAACATTGTATATTTTTAAATTCAAATGAAAGTATATTTTTCTTGTTATAATCAATTTTTCACTTTAGAATATTATATTTAAATTTATGAAGTATGTAACATTATATAAAAAATGAGTTCCTTTTTTTAAATAAAAAATGAGGCTACAAGAGCATTTTCTTTAAATAGCGCTCCCATATGGTGACATTATTGTAGCACTTTCGCTTAGAAGTGCTCTTGTAAGGAGAACTACAAGAGTGCTTGTAAGCAAAAGCATTCTTGTAGAGGGGCTTATAGGAGCGCTTTTAAAGGAAGTGCTCCTATAAGGGGCAGCACTTTTAAACCACTCCCATAAATAGAAAAATAAGTATTTTGAAAAGTGTTTTTTTGTAGTAACGTGGGTTAGAATAATTGCTTTTTAGTCAAGTAATTAGAATAGAGCATTTGGAGTAAAAATTTGGAGTCACGCCATGGGGAGCCAGATTCATGAGGGAGAAGGGAAGGGAGGGGGAAGACATTGCCTTGACAATATTGTTCTTCTTCATTTTCATTCTGGTGGGGTGGTTGTTCAAGTTGAAGAGGCAAGCCATCTCCTTATTTCTAGTTCTTCGTCCTTGTTCTTTTTTTTTTTTTTTGATGTTGTTGTTAGACTACTCGATCATCATTCTTCTTCTTCCTCATTCTTTTTCGTTTTGGTTTTGCTTAATGTAAGTATATATGCTTAATCATCTTCGTTCTTCATCATCTATAAGTCACATTTCGACCCTATATTGTTTTCCTCGAAGATTTCAATTACATTAACATTGAGTCAAAACTGATTGATGTTTACTGCCAAAAAAAAGTTTTTGTAGCGGTTTTTATGTCACTTTTGTAATGAGTTGAACTGCTACGTGCATTTTTGGTAGTGATTTTAAAACCCACTACAATCGTTACCATAGCGGGCCATATAGTAGTGATTTTTAGAACTGCTATCGCAAAAGTTAAAGCGCTAAAAGCTGTGTAACAGTTATAGAATCGCAAACACTTGAAATTTGAAAAATTATTTTGAAATATTTTTTGTCAGAGGGATGTAGTGGTTTCAAGACCACTATGACATTTGAAAATTTAACTTTTCACATCTACGTTCGCATTGTCCCAAAATTCATGAAGAGATTCACATTTATAGAGTTCGAGAAGAGATTTGTGTTCCAAGGGTTGGCGTGAAAAACTTGATCACATAATTGACCAATGTCCTTCATGAGCCTATTATATTGCAACGGGGATTGCATAAAGGACTAGATAAGATCGGATTTTAGATTTGATCTTTTTCTTGAAAAGGATTAAATTAGGTAACTTATAGTTTAGTTTGGTCTAATTATAACCTTAAATTAATAGGACCAAACTTGATCTATAAAACTAAGAAATTAGTCCTCATAATTCAATACCCACTTAGCTTTTTTCTCCCTTCTATAAGGCAACAACTCATTTCAACCTGATAAACTTTATTAAGATAATAAAAATATAAACAGGCCAAACATTTAAAGTATAAGGGCCAAATAGAAGGATGGGAATTATAAGACCTTAATTAAATTATAAGCACCTACAAGATATTTTTCCTATTATTTAACTCACCTTTTCCTTTTGTAGCTTTATAAAATTATTAATCATTTATGATTCAAGAAAAACATGAATGATTAAATTATTGTTGATCACTTAAATATATAATTTTGGGTTAAGTGAAAAAAGTCAGGATCATCTTTAAAGTTAAGAAAGGGTTCTTTTCTTATTTTGACTGGGGGTGCTTCTTTTTTGCAAAGGGGTACTAAAGTAAGTTCATATGAAATTTAATCTTAAAAAAGTCTTTCAAGACCTTATTGTAGTTATCAAATTTCGTGAGATGAAATTGTCATTTTCTTATTTTAGAATGATTTATTCATCACTATCCCTTCTTCTTCTTGTTGTTGTTGTTGATTCTAGGGTTAAATATCAACTTGAACCCTAAACTATAGGTCCAGGAGTGATTTGAATCCTATACTTTAAAAAATGTATTTTGAATCCTAAACAATTAAAGTTGAGGCAATTTGACCCCTTGTCATTAACTTTCAATAAATATCCATCAAATTCATTTGGAAAAAATTACACTTTAAAACCTAATTTGACAGAAGTTTGTTGAAAGTTAATAATAGCGGTCAAATTGCCCCAACTTTAATTGTTTAGATTTAGAATATACTTTTTTAAAAATTTAGGGTTCAAATCGCGCTTGAACATATAATTTAAGGTCAAAATTGTATATTTCAACAGTAATTGAAAAAAGTGTATCTTGCATATTATATTAATTTTTAAAAATATTTTGAAAGAGTGTGTAAGTTTCTTGGTTTGAATTGATGCTGGAGGTGAAAATTTATAAAACAAAACTAAATACCTCTATGATAAATAAAGAAGCTGAAAAAAGTGTATGAAGAGGAATCTATTTTAAATTTTTCCCTAACAAAGAATGACAATGTGTTTTTCACCAATGTTATTATGAGAATTCATTATGCCAAAGAACAAATAGGAAAAAAAATATGAAAGTGCGCTTATAGTAAAAGATTATATTATGTTTCTAGTACTGTCATTGATTGTTTATTAAAACCCCACCCAATAAAAACAAAAATAGTTAACTCGACAGTGTCTCATTCATACCCACCATTATTTTCACCAAAAACTTCTTTACTCATTATTACAATTTACAACTTTTATATAGTTTCATCATCATTATTATTTACCTTTTTTTAATTCCTTCTTCTCAGATCCTGAAAAATTTGTAATATTATCAAGCTTAATAAGCAATTTAGACCCTGAACTATAGGTGTAGGGGTGATTTGAACGTTAAATAATTAAAATTGGAGCAATTTTGCACATACTATTAGCTTTCAACAAACATATGTCAAGTTGGGGTTTATAGTGTAATTTTTTAAAATGAATTTTATAATGTTTGTTGAAAGGTAATGATTGGGGTGAAATTATCTCAATTTTAATTGTTTAAAATTTAAAATGTACCTTTTTAAAATTTAAAATTTAAATTACTTCTGAACATGTAGTTCAGAGTTCAAATTGATATTTAACCCTTAATTCTAACATTCCCATTTTCATCCATTTTATTTGTTTTGTCGTAATCATGACAATCCTATTTCACAATTGCTTTTGTTATTTGTCATATTTGATCATGGATAATTTTTTTTAAAAAAAATATGTTTATAGATTTTTATAATTTTTCTCAATTTTAAATTAGGTTCATACATTTTATTTTACTTTAATAAAACTCTTAAAATTTGATCTATTATATACGTTCATCTTTGAATGTTAAAATTAATAATGAACTATTAGATTTTACAAAGTAAAAAAATTATTGGAATTTATAAAAAATTTAATTTAATACTTTTAATTAAAATTAAAAAAAATTAATTTAATGTGCTGTTCGAGAAAATTCTATATGTAAAAAAAATTAAAAAACATTTTAATTATAAATTTTTAAATTATAAAAATTATATAATTAATTCTAAAATCATATAATCATTTAATAAAAATATAAAAGATTTTCATTTCGTTTTTAAAAAAATTTGATGATTTTTACTTTAAAAAATTTAATTAATCAAATTAGAAGAACTTAATTAAAATAAAATAAATTATAATAATTTAATTTAAAATTAAGTAAAATTATAAGGATATTTTTTTAATTTTTTTATATTTCTAATTTTTATATATATATATATATATTTTAAATTTAAATTTGATTTAAATTCTGTTAATTTATGGTGATTTTTCTAGGGTTTATGTAAAATCATGTCATACAAACGTTAGCACCATTGCGCTGCCTCCAATTCTCGCCCTAGTTCCGAGGAGTCTCCATGGGGAAGAAGAAGAAATTCATCGACAAGAAAAAGTCAGCCACTTTCCAATTACTCGCACGCGATTCTTCTGATCCCAACTATGACGGAACTCCTGGCAGCGACCGTATATTTGTTCGTGTCGACAATAAC